TCCTCCTCCTCCTCCTCCTTCTCCCCCTCCTCCTCCTCTTTCTCTCCTCCTCGGGAGTTCGAGGCCGCCATTTGGTGCGTCACCGCACGGCCCTGGGGCCTCCGAGTTCTTGCGTCCTCTACGCCCAGGGCCTGCGGCGGCGCTCTCCCGCCCACCTGCTCGCTCGAGGGAGGTAAGGCGGCACAGGGCGTGCGGGGCCCCGGCCGAAGATGCGGCCGAAGCTGGCATAGGGGGCGGCTACAATGGGGGTTGGGAATTTGGACGGGTGGGGTATCATGGCCACGGCCATGCCCTCTCCCTGGGTTTCATGGGCCCCTTGTACTTTATTGTTATGACTACCCTTATTGCTATGACTACTAGTATTATTATTAGTTTTATTCGTAATATCCTTATCATTTATAATAGAATGATCCGTTTTCTTGTTATTTTTCTTGCTCGTCTTTCCTATGCGTCCATTGGCCCCCCTTCATCCGCGCCCATGCCTCGGGCCATGATTTTCGAACCAGGGCTCGGCCTGAACAGTGTTTTGGCGATTTCGCGGACCGCTTCGTTTTGATTCCGTTCTGCAGCACAGGAGGAACGAAGGCACACCGAGAGAGCACGGACACATAACGAAGACGAGCAACACCGTTTAGGTGGAGTTGCGTTCTTCTTCTTCTTCTTCTTATTTTTCATGGTACCCTCACTATTATCATTATTATTCGTAGTAGTCGTAGAAGTAGTCGTAGTAGTAGTAGTACTCTTATTATGTTTCTTCTTCTTTCCATGCGTCCCTTGGCCCCCCCCTTCGTCCGCGCCCATGCCTCTGGCCATGAGCTTCGGGCCCCCGGCCGGCATCTCGCGGGAGGCCGCCGCCTCCTGCCAAGTCGCAGCTACTCGGGAGGGCCCCAGGAGGGGGCGCGCCAAGACCGTCATGCCCCTCGCCTTCTCGCCCCGCCGCGCGGCGCCGGCGTCGAGACCGCCTGCGCGCGCAAACGTAAGTCGGGCGTGTCTCTCTAGAGGAGGAATATTCAAAGATAATCCAAACATAGCCTGGGACGAGTTATGTGCATGTTGGTTATGCTCTCGAATTGTTTTGACGATTTGTTTTTCTTCGTCTAAAGTCCGCCGCCGACATTGACATCAGCTCGGCGTCGCCCAGACATGCTAATACTGTGTGTGCGTCGCCCCTACAGGGGCGACGCGCGCACCGAGAGATATTACAGTATACGCGTCGTGGCGGGCGCTGTCTGGCCACACCGCTCGGGAAACGATGTACTACAAGATGGGTATACTATATGGTTGGGTCGGACGCGCGCCTCCACGGAGGACATGTAGTATTAGTGTGTCACTGTGCGTCCCGTCAACGTTTCCTGCCTTTGGGCCGCATTTTGGACCGACTTTGGCGTTTCCTCCTGCTCCTCCGCGCCCCCTTCTCCCTCCTCCCCCGCCTCCTTCCCCTCGTCTTCCCTCGTACTGGGGCGGGCTGGGTCCAAATCTGGTCCCACATGTGTTCCAAGTCTGGCCCAAACCAGGCCCAAATGGGACAGCGCCAGGGGCCACGTAGGCCCCCATGGAACGGACACCGAACAAGCTTTTGGAGGTCCGCGCGGGTTTCCCGTGGTCGGCGCGACACCCCCATGGCCGGCGCCTCCCCAGAGCGCGCCAGACAGTGGGCGCCGACCCAAGAAACCCGTGTCGTCGTCCTCGTCCTCGTCCTGCCCTCCTCCTCCTCTTCCTCGTCCTCCTCCTCCTCCTCTGGGGCAGGCGCTGCACAGCGTGCGGCCCGCAGGCGTTGCTTGTGCTTCTCTAGTTGCGCTTGTCGCTGTCGGGCCGCCGTCGCGCCAGGAGTCCCCGCGGGGAGGGGGGCGGAGCCCGAGAACGGCCGCCGTGCGCCGAGAGTTTGCGAGGAGCTGTTCCGATCCATGGACAGAGGTTATCAGAGCGTGAATTACCTACCCCGCTTTCGCTTCCAGGCAAAACCAAGTCATACCACGCGCCTCCCCGTCAAGCGGCCTGACCAGTACAGGCCGTAGCTGGGCATCGCTTGGTATCTATTAGAAGCGAGGGTGGTCAAAAGCGCGGTAGGTTTGTTTGCCCCCTAGGTAACGATGGCATGCCGCCGTTGGGAGCCCGTCGGCATATTACCCCTTCGCTTATGTCCAGCCCTCTTGCGGCGTCCTCGGCAGTACAGTCGGGGCGCTGAAGAAGGAACTCTTTTCGTTGGGGTGGGGCTCCGTGTTCCTTAATGGTTTCACAGTTTGCCCCACGTGTTCCTGAGGTTTTCGGAGGGAAATCGAAGTTCAAGTTCTGGAGAAACGGGGCCTCGTTCCTGATTTAGGCTTCCTTAGGTCAGCGCCCCGACTGTATCACGCTGAGCGGCTCCCCATGGCAGCATGTCATGGATGTTTGCTCCCCGACTGCTCCTCGGCCCTCGAGGGTCGGCAGCCGCCTGGGTCTCCTGCTTCTGCCGGGCCGGGCGCCAACCATGCGGTTGCGGACAGTGCGTTGTCTTGCATTGTTGGCAGACCCGCAATGTGGTCCCCCTTCCTCTCCGTCAGGGACCCGCAATGGTGTCCATCCGCTGGCTCGCCTGTGATGATTCCGACGACGATGATGGTGATGATGGTGATGATGATGATGATGACGATGATGATGATGCAGATGATGATGATGATGTTGATTATGATGATGATGATGATGATGATGATGATGATGATGATGATGATGATGGTGATGGTGATGGTGATGGTGATGATGGTGATAACGGTGATAAAAATTGAGGTGGAGATGACGAGGGTCATGATGATGATGACGTCGATGATGATGATACTTGTGATACTAATGATGATGTAGATGATGATGCTGCTGATGATGATGGTGATGGTGACGATGATGATTGTGTTTATGGTGGTGATGATGATGGTGATGATGGTGATGATGGTAATCATGATGCTGGTGGTGGCGATGGTGATGATGCCGATGATGATGACGACGACCATGATGCTTGTGATCATGATGCTGATGGTGACGATGGTTATGATGATGACGACGATGATGATGCTGGCGACGATGATGTTGATGATGTTGATGCTTGTGATGATGATGCTGATGATGATGGTGGTGGTGGTGATGAAGCGTTTGATGATGATGATGATGATGATGATGATGATGGTGGTGGTGATAGGCACTGATGATGATGATGTTGTTGATGATTGTCATGATGATGGTGGCTGTGATGATGATGATGACCACGATGATGATGATGATGATGTTGATGATGACGACGACTACGACGACGACGACGACAATGACTACGATGATAATGATGTCGACAGCGGCGACGCCCGCGACGCTACCCGCCGCAAGGGCGGCGAGCAGTGCCCTCACTGGCACCTGCCGCTCGGCGGACGACTTGACGGCCCCGCCGCTCGCCCCCGGTTCCCTCGGGCACAACTGCACGCTGGAGCAGGACCGGTGCCCAGATGATCCACGGACGAGTGAGTTACGGGGAGGCACAGATACCGACATCGCTGCTCGTGGAGAGGCCTCGTCGCCACGTCAGGAGGCAACAAATTAACAGGGAGGTTCAGTTCAGCCTCGGCGCTGGTGTGTCCGTGGTCGGAAGCTGGTCCAATCCGCCGCAGTCCCGTTGAGTTCGGCTGAATCCAGCTGAATAGTTGTTTCATTATGCTTAATCATTGTCATAATGCGGGCCAGTCTGGCCTAATGGCTTTCTGATCGGGCTCAGTCGCTTTCAATCAACCTTACGAAGACATCCCAGGAGTTGCGACCTAAGCCACGACTGGATTCTGCTCGGCAATCTGGCCAGAACTCACCCCGGGAGAGTCCTGGGGGGAGCAGCGGTATCGGTGTCTTGTCGTCCCCCCAGGCCCAGGGAGTGACCCTTCGCCAGAGTGGCCTCTGGAGCGGGCCAGGCTGGGGTCATCCGATCGCCAGATGCGTGCGGTGGCAGCGGCGTGCGCGCGCCTGGGTTCGCCCCCCCCCCCCCCCCTCCAAGCCGCGCAGCGCACCAGCGGCCACTCTTGCCCAGTATCCTTCTCTCGCTTCTCTCGCGCTGCTTCTGGAGGGAAGCTTGGCATCGCTCGGACGTGTGCTCTGTATTGTTCTCGGCGAGGACCACCGAGGAGCGCCCGGGGTCTTCTAGCAAAGCGAACACGCACGAAGACGAAGTATCCACGGGGAGTGGACGTCCGAGCGACGGTAAGGAGGGGGATCCTGGCGGGTTTTTTTGCCGCGTTCGGCCCCCTGGGGTCTTCCCAGGCCCGTGGTCTTCGAGGAGAGGATGAGCTCAGGGTGACAAGCTGGTCCTGCAGTGCTTTTTTTCCTGGGAAGCAGCGCCCGTGCCCATCCTGCCAGCAGGACGAGGAGAGGGAGGCTGGGAAGGTGGCCTTCCCCCCATCCAGCACTTCCGTCCTCTAATCACCCCACCTCTCCTCGTTCTCCTCACCTATCCCTCCCTCTTCGCATCTCATGACCAAAGCCAGGCGCGAACATCGTTGGCGATTATCTCTGACGTAGCTTCTTTCGACCTGTTTCAAAAGTGCTGGGCTCCGCCTTTTATCGCTACGTAGTGGCGAGAACCCTGGAAATCTCAGGAGGGAAAAAGCACACAGACACCATGAATCGTCGATGCCCCAGAACATATGGGAAAATATGGGAAGTGGGGGGGGGAAGACGAACATCCAGAAAATATTGGAAACTATGGGGAATCCTTTTGTGTGTATTTCTCTTTCTCTCTCTGTGTCCTTGGGCCCCTTGAAAATCCCCCATTCTTCTTCCTGCTATAGAGCCTCCCCCCCCTCTGTCGCGCCACCAGACGTGTCCGTAGGCCTGGACAGGCGGTTCGCTCGAGACTCTGTTACAGGTCTTGGCATCGCTCGGACGTGTGCATGTCTCCTTCGGCGAGGACCATCGAGGAGCATCCTTGAGCAATTGGCGAACAAAACACGCACGAAACCGAAACATGCACGGGAAATGGAAGAGGTTGTTGCCTCGAGGCTGGAGAATCGAACAACTACAAGGGTTGAGAGCCAGTGGCTCTCGAGCTGTAGTTTCTGCCTGAGCACCGCGCGTACTCTTGCCAAACAGGTTCCAGCAGTTACAAGCATGGAGGGCCTGCAGTTTTCGAATTGCGGCTCTCGTCTTAGCACTGGACGCATTCGTCTTAACAGTAGGCAAGGGCTACGAGGATGAAGCGCGGCACGTTTTCAAACATTGGGCTAGTGCTTCAGCGCCCCGCGCGCATTCGTTGCACAACTTTGCTGCAGCACCAAGAGTGACGGGTGGCTCCTTTGGGAGATTGGGGCTCTCGCTTTCTTGCGTGTTCACCTTCAGAGACGCTTCCACGTAACTTGTCCAGATTCAGAGACCTGAGGCGTGTACATATGTAAGGGTTGCAATGATTCAGGTCGGTGGATTTACGCATGTTGCGTATGTTCCAGACTACTTCAGCGTCAGCCGCTATAAGTTTAAGATTGTGCAGCAGCTACACGGATGAGGGCGGCTCCTTTTCGGAATAGGGTTTTGGTTGGACACGCCGTTGAATTCTCAGATCTTGCCTTTTGAGCGCCTCACCTCTTGCCAGAAGAATGCGCTGCAATATCTTTTCAAAGCGGGGTCTCGCTTGAATGGAGGCTCACAAGGTGCTCGTTTTCAAGGAGACGTTTCATGTGGTGAAGGGGAATGCCCACAACGTCATATGAGTTGGGGACTTGGGACCAGAGGGTGCACGGTGCATTGAGGTATCGCTCACGAATTGGAGGTTTACTCTGGTCGTCGTCCTCCTCATTGCCCTTCTCCTCATCCACCCCCTTCCCTGGAAATAACCTCTCCCGGTCGCACCGTCAGTCGTGTCGGTAGAGCGGTATTGGGCGTTTTGCTTGAGACTTTGGAAGATTGCAAAAGGTATTGGTCGCCGCACGCAGTCGTCCTACAAGTTCCAAGAAGCTACAGCAAGGACGAAAGGCGGATCATGTTCCAATGTGTTTCTGGAATTTCGCCGCCACGCACACCTTCGAAAGCGCCAGGCACTTCAAAGGATGAGTAGAGCATCGTGCAACACCTACGAGGGTGGAGGGCGAGTCGCTTTCAAAACGGGTACATCGTTCAACATGTCTTTTGCTGTATTGGTACTCTCTCTCTCGCTCTCTCTCTCGCTGTCTCTTCCTTTGTGTTTCCACCCATCCTGTGGTGTTGGGTCATCGTTTTGAAGAGGCAGCGCCCCGCGTCCTCACTCCAGTTGCCCCCTCCCTCCTCGCATCATCTTCATCAGCATCAGCATCGTCATCATCATCATCATCATCATCATCATCATCATCATCATCATCATCATCATCAGCATCGTCATCTTCATCCTCATCATCATCGTCATCTTTCATCAACATGAAGGCCCCAGTGGCAGGGTTCGCATGGCGCCACCGAACCCATTTCGGCACATTCCTCACACGTTTCGAGGCCTCCTAGGGACCTCCACCGAAGGCTCCACAAGCAGGGTTCGCATGGCGCCACCGCACCCATGCTGGCACACCCCTCACACGATTCGCGGCCCCATAAAGGGAGCTCCACCGAAGGGCTCAGTGGCAGGCAGGGTTCGCATGGCGCCACCGCACCCAGTTCGGCATACCCCTCACACGTTTCGCGGCCCCATAAGAGAGCTCCACCGAAGGCCTCATTAGCAGGGTTCGCATGGCGCCACCAAGCTCATTTCGGCACACCCCTCACACGTGTCGTGGCCCCATAGGGAGCTCCACCGAAGGCCCCAGTGGCGGGGCTCGCATGGCGCCACCGCACTGATCTCGGCACATACCTCACACGCTTCGCGGCCCCATAAGGGGGCTCCACGGAAGGCCCTAGTGGCAGGGTTCGCATGGCGCCACCGCACCCATGCTGGCACACCCCTCACACGTTCCGTTGCCCAATTGGGCGCTCCATCGAAGGCCCCCGGTGCGCGAACAAGCAGGGTTCGCATGGCGCCACCGCACCCATTTCGGCACACCCTTCACACGTTTCGTGGCCCGACAGGGTGCTCCACCGAAGGCCGCAGTGACAGGGTTCGCACGGCGCCACCGCACCCGGAAAGAGCGCGTTCTGTGGTCGCTTGGAGGGGGGGAGGGTTGGAACCGGACTCCCCCCCCCGCTGGATGGAGGGGGGGCGGGGGGGTTCGAACCCCCCCCTTCCCCCCTCCCCCCCTGCATCCGTTCTCCTCGGGCCGGCGCTGACGTCGGCGGCGGCTGGCCACGGCGGCGGGGACGACGATTTTGGGCCGGCGCCGGCGCTTGCGGCGGCGAGCGGCGGTGCCCGGGAGCGTCGACAACGACGACGGTGGTGGTGGAGGTGGTGGTGGTGGTGGTTGGTGGTGGTGGTGGTGGCGGTGGTGGTGGTTGTGGTGGTGGTGGTGGTGGTGTGGTGGTTTGGTGTGGTGGTGGTGGTTGTGGCGGTGGGTGTTGTTGGTGGTGGTGGTGTGGGTGAGTCCACAACGCCGATGGGCGCAGACCTTTCATTCAAGGCGAGCACTGCTCGGCGTGGGGAGGGGTAAAGGGGGTGATAGGAAAATCGACCTCCCTCCTCCACGCCCTCCACTCCCTCCTCCACGCACCCCTCTCCCTCCTCCACGCCCCCCTCCCCTTCCACGCCCCCCTCTCCCTTGTCCATCATAGAAATATCGTTGTTTGTTTTGTCAGCATTCGGCGAGGAGCAGCTTTTTTCAGCTAGAAACAACATGTTGACATTCGGGCGGATGTAGATAAGTGAAAGGGCGTTGGTCGGTGTGCATGATTTTCAATTTCAAAAACCACATGTTGACATCTGGATCGATGTAGATATGAGGAGGGGCTTTCGGCGAGGCGCGGCGCGTCCTGTAAAAAAACCCATTTCGTCTAGGTATGTCGGAGATGTGTGAAGGAGCTTTCGGCGTGGCGCAGCTTGTTCCTTGCCCCCGCACCGCTGTCTCATTTGTGTGCATACATAGTTGTCTAAATGAAAACCCACGGGGCGCGTGCATGTAGTAACATATGCGGTGCTCGCGCGCGTGATGAGTTGGAACGTTCTAGTGAGATCGGTCGAGTGAGATCGATAGTGAGATCGATTGTGGGATCGATAGTTAGGGCGATAGTGGGATCTATAGCAACAATTGTTCATACGTGCGCGCATTCACGGCCCAAGCCAACTTCGGGATGCAACAGCATCTCCCTGTGTCGATCGCTCGGCAGTTGTCAGTTGCTGGGCCGTCTTACATTTTGTTTAACGATGGTTGTCTAGATATCTCTCGTGATTCCATGCCGCTTCTTATATCTGGGCTGATCAATGTTGGAGGTAGGCATTGTGCGAGCGTTTTGCGCAAGCATGGTCAGGGTTGGTTGAATCCTCGCGGGCATTTCAACGCAAGTGATTGTATTG